CATTGATGAAAGACCGAGAGCGAATTCGGAGTGGGGAGGTAACTGTTACTGGAGGTGGACTGCTATTGTCCTTTGAAGCTGCGAACTACGCTACTACTAGGACTATGGCGGCAACTAGGATGCGCGTGTGTGATCGCGTCGACTTCCAAGTGCGTCGCCCGAGATCAAAGTGGGAGTGTGAGCTATAAAACTTACCTGCGTGTCGAGCGCCAGTGCATTGCAGTCTGCCAGTGTCCGGTGCCCCCCATCTACGAGCCACCGTCCACTGCCAGTGTCTGGAAAAGACACATCCCAAGGACACTCATGCGCCTGGCAGTGCAGCTTGCGGCTGCACTACAACCGGCTACACTGAGTACACATGCGTGCAATGGCGAAGGACTATACCAAGGACTGTATGCACAAGGACATCGTTGGTTGTGCGCTGCCAAGATGGTGTACTCAAACGAGAGTGCATTTATCTAGAGTTTAGTATTGACTTATTTGCTATTTGTATACTAATCTACTTTTGCGGTACAGCGGTGTTCTGGCGGAGGCTGCTCCACACTTTGCGTTTTGACGCCTGCCGCTCATCAGAGAGCAGCAGAGGAGAGCAGCCTCGCCAGACACTGCTATACTGTCGCGGCCTTTTGCCCGGCACTTACGTGTTTACGTTACTTCCTGATTAGTTTCCTAAAGTTGACATTTAAGTGTATTTACATTTAAATGGCTCCTACTCTTAGAAGCGATCGACACATGGAGAGCAATCCCCCCCGTGACGACCCTACGTCACCACTAAATGCGTTAAGCTAAACTCTAAGTGCGTGATTTTTGCCGGTAGCGAGCGCATCGAAGACAAGTCTAATTGTAGGACAAATTGGACATTTTAGGCTTCGTTTAGGACGCATTATTCGACAGCGCTGCGAGAGCAAGACCTCCAATTCAAGATGGTACAGTATACAGAATGCACTGCTCAAAACCGACGCGACGAATGTTTACGAGACCTTGCTCATGGAGACCTTTTTGCTAGCTCGTGTCCATGCTGCTTAAGCAGCTCACCTGATACGCACCGTGCCAGGAGGACGGTGGCTTTATTATTAATACTACAACGTAGTACACGTACACCTCACAGGTGAGCAAGCAAAGAAGCTAATCGACGTCTTCGCAGCTAGGAAGTCACTAAACAAACACTGCAGACAAAGGAGAGTACTGTAGATGCGCGGCTGGAGGAAAAGAGCAGCGCCACAGCAACAGGCTGATGAACTTTTGAGCTAGTGGACGAAAAGTACCTTTCGGCGTGGGGTTTTCAAGCCAAATCGAGTCGAAATCATCGTCAGGTCTGAAGGCAATCGCTGTCTCCACCTTTCATATGTATTGCAATTAAAAAAAATGCACCGTGTACCAACCGAGCTTCTCCTCCTTTGCCGTTCGCGCTTCAATAAAACAACTCAGCTGAAAACCACGTGGTTCTTTCCGTTCGATTTCAATCCCTAAGAGAAGATCGGGCAATCACGACTGCCACATCCCTTACTCGTCAACTACAGGCTCCTTCTTCACTTCCACCTTCTCTTCCTTCATATCGTCCACGTCCTCAGATGCTTCCTCAACCACCGCCGACAATGTCTCCATACTCGTTGTAGTAAATGCCACCTCGTCAATCAGCGTCTTGCTCTTTTCATTCTCCATACCCTCAGTCTCTGGTGCCGAGTCCGTCTCGAACAACTTTTTCGCCTTATCACGTGCATCAGCAGCCGCAGCTTCCAGCACCGCAGCGTCAGCAGCTGCTTCCTCGTCCAGCTGCGGTAGAGCGTACACCGCGTACAAAATGATCAGTGCCAGTGCTTCCAAGAAGACAATGTTCAGAATGAACAAAATCGCTGTCGGTACTGCCCAATGGTACATTAAATACCGAAGACCTGTCAGCTGCGCAATTACTGTAAGCTTGGCCGAGTAGACCTGTAGCTTTGGCGTGTTCAGCTCAATGTCCACGCGCGTGAGAGGGTACTC